CGATGAAAAACAATACACTCGACTGCGGTAGAGTATCATTCCCTAAAGTAGAATTCTCTTGAAATACACGAATTAACTCTTGTCGCTTAGTAATGTCAATGATATTTTTAGCTGATAAGATGAGAGTATAATATGAGATTGCGATTGCTTATAGAAGTCTATAATAAGGTACTCATCAACGTTTAGCATTGAACTATGAAAGTTTTGTATTCATTATTCATGAAACGTATGTTATATAATCACGTATTCTACGTACATATTGTTACAAAAATACATGAGTATCTATTAATTAAGTTTCATTATCTCATTCTCTAAATCAACAAAATATAACAACTCTAGTTACTAGATTAAGTCAGCAATTTTTTAGAATCTGAAATTCAATTTGTCTAAATTTAGTAGCCATACTCTTTTATTTATTGATTGTTAAGCTTCATTGCGTTTGTTAGTTATGAAAAATTTATAATGTTTAAATATAGAAGTCACGATTAAGATCTAAATATAATTCACAATTACGACATCACCTTAATTAAGAATATGGTGACTTTCAGAGGAAAGTTGACGAACCATTGACGATTGCGCTCGCGCCGCCATCATTCGTGTCGGATACGCTCAATGTATGTTACATAAGATCACAATTACGCAGTTAGGTATGATGACGTTATAAGCACCGTGATTATAACAGTGGTGATGAATCTGATCGTGAGTCAGACTTGATTTCATCTACGATTGATTGCCTACCAAGAGCTGAATGGTTAAATGATGATATACCAAGCATTGATCTGTACAAAAATGATGGCGACCGTGCCCTGCGAGGTACGTCACATCATTAATTTTATTTGCTCCGAGTTTCCTTATAATTTGTGTAATATATTAAATATGTAAAATATGTATATAATTGAATGCCACAAGACGGTCGCGTAAAAATCTAAACTATCGCCAATATATCTCTGGTATATTCGAAAAAATTATTGCTGATATATTGGTAATCTATTGGAAATTTCTGTTGAAAGTCTATTTTGGCAATTGTGCGCCCAAAGTCGACGAGCAATATCTTGCCAACACTTACTAAGTGATCTCAATTGTTGGCACCTATTGGTAACATATTGGTAATAATAGCTTTTTTTTAAATATATGTGTAATATTTTTGCTATATATTTGTAATACTTTCTTAGATAATTTCTTGCAGAAATTTGTTTAAAAGACAGGTTGGATTGCGATCAGATTTCCCTAATTTGAACTCGAATCTGTCAAAGAATCCCCTTTGGATTTCGATTGAGAAACGTACAACTTTTTAACACAATTCAAATTGAGAAATCCAACCTGAATCATGAGAAAAAATTGGTTATTTTCTAACATTTATTTAAAAAGAAAATATATAAATTATAATTTATATTTTTGTTCGAAAACTATATTTTATAACTTTTACAAAAGATTAAATTATACACTGAGAGAAATTATTGTAAAATTTACTACAAATGTAAAATTTACTATAAAACATAACGAAACTAGGGCATACTGTGACTATATAGCAAAAATTGCTATGTTACAATTGCAAATATTATTAAAAAAAGAAATATATTTTATAGCTATAACTAAGTAAAGTTTATGACGGTATATAGCACATTTTGCACAAACATTAAATAAATTTTGGTAATGAAACGTAGTAAAATCAACTAATAAGATATCATAAAGTCTACGATATACATAATAAATGTTATTAGTTCAAATGGAACTGAAACAAATTTTGTGAATGAAATTCCTCATTTCCTCTTTTAAAAATGAGAACCTGACAAAATGAAGCCAGTTTATTCGTGACCTGATTGGTTGAAATCTTCCACCTCTTTTAAAAAAGAAAACCTGACACATTAAAACCTGATTGGCTGAAAATTGGTCATATGACCAGCTGTTATGAAATAGTATCTATTTGTTCTATACGGTCATGAAAAGTTACTAAAGATTTTAGTAGATGATTAAACGCTTGAAAATTTAATCGGTATAGTTGGCATGAATTTAACATGATTTGATTGATTTAATCATACTAATCTCAATAATAATCAACTAACATAAAGTATATTTATTTTTAAGGAAAATTTTTTTCATTTTAGATTTAGGAGTTAAATAATGACAGCAAAAAATATTAGCGTTAATACTTTCAATTAAGCCGAACGTACTATATAGTCCAAATAGAACCACATAATAATTCAAAGCCAATTCCTTATTAACTGAGAAAATTTAATTTGTCTACCCATCTTCTGAAGCAAATATAATAAAGTTTATGAAAACGTTGTAACGAACGATTTGAAATGTTAATAAACATCGGCACGTCAAGTGAAAGTAGATTATTAATTTCACTCAATCAAGGCCACTGAAAATCGAATATCGACGGCGGTCAATGGGGCGGCACACCTTGCATAAATCTGCATTTTGCCCATCACGAGCGAAGGACGAATAAAGCAAAGACCATTTGACGAAATCTAGGAATACACGGCTTTTACCATATTAGCGAATTTTTGAACACGTATTATTTAACTAGAAAGCCGCAAAGTGCCTGGTCCCATATATCGTTTCGTCAAACTCGCGAAAATCTGATGTTACATTGCGTTGCGCGCAACCGAATGTGAGAGAAAAAAATGAGCCTTTCAAATATATAAATATCGTAATTGACATTGAAGAATCAATAAAAGCTTATGATAAATGATAGCATATATTCACATTTGTCGTAAATGAAAACTCATCCCGCTAGTCCCAGAGATTGAACTAATTTGTTATGATTAGTTTTCACTTCTTGCTCCGAACAAAAATATAGAAAAAATTTAGAACCTAATTTTGCCTATCAAGGGAATTAAATAAAAAAATATTTTCAATCTTAGCTTGGTATCATGGTGAGAGAACCGGTATATTTATATAAACAATTATTAGTAAAAATGTGCATACTGGCTACTGCTGTATGTAACAAGGAGATACTTTAATGAAATTAGAAAAATATGGTATTAAAATATCATGCGTGCACAAAATATGATACGAGTAAAAATGATCAAATGAAATAAAGAAAAGATTGTCAGCATCACCATTAATTTCAATCATAGCTCAACTAACACACTGTAGTTTATTTAATTTAATTTATATACTTACGCTTAGTTGGTTATTAACACCGATTATGTCGGCAAAACCGGCCGTTGAACACCCCACTTACCCTAGCCTGCAAAGTGTAATGGACAGTGAAAATAAAAAATACCATTCGAAATATCTCTAATTGAACCCTCCAAAAATGCTCATTATTTTAATTGAACCCCTTTATTTGTCCCAACACAAATTAAAAACTATGATAATATTTTCGTTTTTTGCAACTGTGATATCTTTAGTAATACTTAATATTTTTGCAAAGAAACGAGGCAAAAAAATTGAACCCTTGCTCGTTTTAATTGCACCGCTCTTACTTTTTCAAAATTATTAATATATATATCAAAAACAATAATATAATTTTATTATATGTCTTTCCAAATAGATTATTGGATTATTGGGTTTTTTAGCAAATATTGTTTCAAAATTTTGTAATTTATATTATAAAATTTGTATTATAGGCCCTTATTAATTTTTATTACTGTTATACTAATTTTTAAAATAAGTTTTATAAAATTCATTCTCAGTTTAATAATGATTGTAAAAAATATATTAAAATTATAGGCTCGAGTATGCCCCAGTTTTACTATGTTCATTTACAAATTTTACTATACTTGTGGTGAAATTTAATATATCTTTCTCTCATTGCATTTTTATTCAGCTAAATCTTCATTCAGCTCATTCTTTTTTGTCCTGCCGCCACAATCTATTGAGTTTCTAAATGATTCACTTAGAGAGATGTTAAGTTCGTTCTCTATGATAAAATTTACTTGAGAATCACGATAATTGTTCTGAATAACGACTAAAAATTAATTATTAGGGGTAAGTGGGGTAAAGTGAGAAATTTTTTAAAAGCTTTAAAAAATTCTAGATAGTACAAAAATACGTCTGCACGCGCCAGTATACAATAAAGATTTGCTTAAAGTCATTGCAAATACATGTCAGTAGCGCATGACAAATATACTTTGATAGTTTGCCGGAAAAGTGACATTTCCAACTCTACCCTCTTTCCCACTTTACCCCACTTACCTCTGCTTAAATGTTTATCAATTACTTTCTAAAAACAGTAATTTGTATACTTAATCTTCATAAGCTGAAGACAAGTAGATGACTTAAATACAAATTCTCTATCATTGACTTTTTTCAGAGTTGTAATTTTAAGTATCAATTTAAGTATCAATTTTTAAAAAATTTTATAATATTTTAGTGCAGCTTTCACTGGAGTTGGGTTATTTGCAACTTGTAACGGAGTATGCATTTTAATATGTGCTACGCCGGGCACGGGTTGCGGGTTCGCTTTGTGTATGTGCGCACATGAGCGCGCGCTGCGCGAACGATGCCGCCGCGCCACACAATGGCGCACACTTAAGCGACGCTCGGTGAACTTTCAGAAGATTGCCCGCACAAGCAATCACGAGCGCCTTCTCTTAGGCTTAGGCACTTGTCTCCGGGCGAAGTCCCCGTTGTGTACCACCATTACTATATTCGGTAGGCTCAGCCTCGCTCGGAGGTATTTGGGATGTAATTCGGTTATCTGGAAACGGGCGCGAAAGCACGAAGTCGTTTTGTCACAACAAACACACCGATGATGGAAAGGGATTCTAATAATTAGTCAGACAATGATTATATCACATATAGAATTTACTTATCGCTAAGGCGTCCTTTATTACTTCGTTATCTGTGTTAAGTTTTGGGCCTGCACTGTTATCGCAATTTGCCACATATGGTATATACGGGCGTCGCCATCTTATTCGCTACCGCACATGAGTCGCTCACAATCGCTCCCGCTATAACGCAATATACGCGCGATCGCCTATTCTCGTTTAGCGATCTCACGTGAGATCGCCGGCCACTTCATCTCAAACGCGCGACCAGCTTACCTTACGAGAACAGCTCTTAACTATGTCGGCGCTCAGATTAGCCTCGCTTTGTATCCCGGTCTTGCTGGGGAAATTGCCGACATCGAATTGGGTGTCCGACGTATTCTTTGCACGCGTCCTCTCAGTATGTCCTTCTCAATGTTCTTCACAAAACGGCTGCACACTTTTAAAACGGGGGGAAATGTTCGCGCTCCGTAAGAGCCACATCCGTCCGCCGCGAGTAGCTATCCTAAACTCTCTCCTTTCGCTATCTCTATTTCACTCTTCCCGCGCAGAGCGCGCCCTCAACTCATATCCGGCCGGTGCTGCCTCTCGCGGGCAGTCGTCCTGACGAGGTGAGAGTACAGCCAGCGATGAGCATTCGGTCACCCATCCTAAACTTTTTTTTTCCTATTCGTAACGCATCTAGGTCTGTTGTACACTTGTGGCTATTCTATCATCATACCGTGTCCGAATTCCGCGTTTCAAGTTCGTTTTGTTTGAAAGAGGGAAAATAAGAAAAATCTTAATTGTACAATATGTAGCAATTGTTTGATATAAATTGATGTCAGCCTCGGGAAATACTGATTATATATTTTCAAGTACAATTCGATTTGTAGCCTAGTAGTAAAAGTAAAAGTCCAAAGAAAGAGGTATTTTAACAAATATAGTTTATATTCTCATACTATTTTTTAAAGAATTAAGAAAAATGTAGACATGTTATAAATTGTCAAATCTTAATTAGATTATTCTTATTTGAGCTCTGTAAGTCCATAGGTTATATGGTAAATTTAGTCTCAAATTATTTCGCGCATCTGACACGCCTATGCTGGGGTTTTCCCAAACTTACCTAAACGCGAAATTAAAATAATTTATTGCTAATCGTTTTTATGATGTTCAAGTGTCGATGAATTGCTGGCAAACAACTCTCTCTTCCTTTGTATCGTTGTTCAGTATGCGCGTTGAGCATTTTTTACGTTTATCCAAATCCGAGGTTCGCTTGATCCCATCTAGAAAACTTATGAAAATAGTTACCTGATTTCATGAAGGCATACTTTTGTATTTTTGAAATCGTTATATCGATTCTGAAAATATCAACATTCAATGACTTAAAAACGATATACAAAGTCGTGATAAAAGAAATGAAAAATATTATACTCGAACGTAAAATTTTCCGTACTTTCAGAATCTGTAGTCGAAATTTAACTTTTTGTACAATATGCACATTTGATCTTGAAAATGACCTTGATTCAGCTATATTGAGATCAAACAGACTCTAGATTTAGATTCAGCAACCTTGAAAACCATAGAAACACTCGTTACATTTTTTAAAACTACTTTTTTTCCTGAGTTGGACCTTTAAATGCCCTTGATCCTGATATGGTGGGGTCAAACTGACTGCGGATTCGGATTCAGCGTGGCAAAATACATGGGAATATGTGTATGTCGTTTTTGATACAGATCACCTATTTTTTATGTGCCTGTGTAATTTAATCCACTATTTCACTATCTGATCCATCATTGTTAGATATATAGCTTGCTTGTTATTCTATAAATTTTGCTGGCATAAAAAATGCATAGTGTTATAAGTTTCATGCACTAAGCCATTCAACTACATTCTAGTATTTTTATACATTTCATGTAAGCTGTACCATTTTTCATACTAATTCTTCTTTACAAATATAATGCAAATTGTACTATAACAAGCTGAAATCCTTATTTTAAATATTAAAATACATTATAAAAGATTATGCTACTATCTGCATTATTCCAATATCTAGATAAATTCATTTTCAGGTTATACGCTAATGATCAAGATACAAATTTTTTTCTCATCATTTCTGAAATCATTGTGTCCCTATTTGTACACGTACTAATCTTTTGTGACTCTGCTAATCATAAAGTAATAAACCACTGATAATGTAATACGCTTAATTCTAATCATATTTCACTATTACTCTATAATTACTAAAAATGGCAAAAAAATTGTTTATGATATTTAAAGTTGTCTTTGAGTTTCTCAACCAACTCTTTCTAGCCAAATCTTCTGACCGTCTTAGAAATGAACATGTCGAGCTGTTCTATCATAAATCTTTTTTGTTCTTATTGATGATGTTTCAGAATTTTGTGATAAGTGGTGAATTTTATTGAGTGATGTTTTCAGTTTATACATGTAGTTTCCAGTATCTGTTGATCTGTCATCAGTAGGAGGAGACCTACGCACTGAATCTAGTCGAAGTCGCAAATCAGTTCCAGTTATCATCTCGGCTGGAGTGATCTTTGTTGTTCAGTATATTATAAATCTGTAAACTAGAAAATACAGTGAAACCCAACGATCCCAATCTTTTTGATTATCCGATATGAATATATTTCTATATCCGATATATTGGGATAAGTATTCAAGTATTGTTCTGATTTGTTTTTCAACTTGGACATTTGCCTGAGAATATAGAAGAGTTGTTCTAGTTTTATGAATATTGAATCGGTGAGATAAATCTTTAATTAGTCTAGCATCAAGTTACGCCCCTTGTTCGGGTTAAGGAAGAGTGGAATGATAGTCGATCGACAGAGTGAAGGTGTACTTTAATGTATAAATGTTATTAAATGGTCGAACAAATCAATTACAAAAACAAACTCGGTTAAGTTCCGAAGTACAAAGAAACACTTAACGCTAATGTAAGTTGAGACGAACGCAAAGCTAATTACAGGCTAAGCCGCGAAGGAATTACTAATCTACGCTTGCAATTGTGCAGAACGGCTGCGCTGTATGACGAAACCACCCGATCGTTCGAGCGCCCGATAGAGAGAGCGAGTTCGCTGCTGCTTTCGGCCGCTGAGAGAAATCCTTTTTCGTTTTCTCGAAAAATCATTCATAACTGTAGATAAAACATAAATACGAGATGAAGAAACAGAAAAAACAATGGATTTTTAAAGATGAATGAACTCCAAAGAAGGCTGTTAAAAGCGCGAATGAACAGCGCACATCGTAACATGTCTGACGACTGTCGAACAGACTGGACATCTCTACACCACGTGCAATCAGAGAAAACCTATAACGTGGTCCCCATGCCTGTGCCGCCTGTGTTTATTCAGCGCCGACTGATGTTATCGTGATCGGTTGACGATCTAGTTAAGCGAACATGTGCTGCCGTTCTCGGGAAAATCCCGTCTTCATATATTCATATATTCATCTTAAAAAGAAATATCCTGCCGGGATAATATGACACCTTTTTTTACTATCTAATAATAGTTCGAATAACATTATCCTGAAGATAACAATTTCGCCAAACCAATTAAGATGTTTTTCTCGAAAATAATATGATCTACAGAATCATTAATTACCTATTTCTATATAAAAGCCATATCTACACGAAGAATCATCACAAGGTTGTCTTGAGAGTCCATCTGTAATTACCATAAAAAATTCCTTTGCGATGTAACATTTTTAAGTCATACTGATCAAGGTTTCCTACCCGTTTAGCTAATTGACTATCTAAGTCTTTAAAAGAAAGAAGCCATGTAAAATGCAGAATGATCAGTACGAATAAAGAATAGTCTACTATATAAATAGTACTGAAAATTCTGAACTGAATCTACTACTGCTAAAAATTCGCGATGAGTAATGTAATAGTTCTTTTCAGCTTTAATTAGAATAGAACTATGAAAACCAATTATTCTTTCTACGCCGTCCTGAACTTTAGATAAAATGGTTCCTATCCTATGATGAGATATTTGTATCCAAAATAAATGCAAACTACTACGTGGAAATGCTAAAATCAGTGGGATTTAAAGAGTTTCTTTTAAAATTAAGAAAGATTTTTGACAATCAGTAGTCCAAGAGAATCTTACCTTTCTCTCGGTTAATTAATAGAGGGGTTTAGTAACAGAAGAAAATCTACGAATATAACGTTTATAATAAGAGCATAAAGCCGTAAAACGTTTCACCTGCTTCGTAGTAAAGGAAGTCGGCCAAGTAATCATAGTTTTTATTTTTTTAGGATCTGTTTTCTTCCCTTTCCTTGAAACAATGTGACCTAAATTCTTTTAAACAACGTGAGATTGAAATAAGACTTAATCTCATGTTGAAAGAAAATATACTTTTTCCGGTATAACCTTAAATTAACATTTTGGATTTTTCCGAAAACTATGTGTAGATTATTCAACATCTAATAGAATGACTTTACCATGACGATTACATCATCTAAGTAAATTAACCCATTACTGCCTGAACAGGCACTTTTAGTTGTTCAATTTCAATGCATTACTATATGCACAATTTTATTGAAAAAAATTCTGTAACCAATGCTTTATGTTTTCAAGGGTGTTTTTTGCAGATCCAGAAAATGAATTTTAGTATTGAAAAATAATAAAAAAACGTGATACTTTGATGAAACAAATTTTTGATCACATTTCTTTTGCTTTTATGAATTTTCCGAAAGTCGTCAACAAAATCTTGAAAAATTTAAGCCTATTCTTTGATTGATTCTGAAACATTTTTATTCCTATGAAATTTTTACCAAAGTTAATAGTTTTCTAGAAAAGAAGTATGAAAGCTTTAAAAAAACGTATCTTTGCCGACAAATGGTATTGTCGTTGCCTGTCTTTCACCACGGGTAGGTAAACGTAATGTAGAAAGCCTCTTTTTGTTTTTGTATTTTTTATTCCTTTTTATTCAATTGTAATATTTAGTTGTGTTCATTCTGCTTTCCTATATTGAACGAGACGTAAAATAAGATTATAATTATTATCGAGATTTTCATTATTATTCGTTTAATTAAAAGAGACTCTCTACATTGCATTTACTTAGTATAGTAAAAGTTGGGCAACAGCAATACCATTTGTCGGTAAAGAAACTCCTTGTACAAGCTTTCATAATTTTTTTCTCGAAAACTATTGATTTTGGTAAAAATTTCATAAGAGCAAAAATATTTCAAGGTATGAATTCATTATTATAAGCCAGAAACGAAAAATCTGACTGATATTAATCGATTTCCGAGAGGTGGAAAAAACTATCACAGGAAAATATTACGCTTTATTATTAGATCGATTTAATGCCATATTGAAGGAAAAGCGATCTCATTCAGCGAAAAGAAAGTACTTTATCACTACAACAATACATCGACAACAATATCCACTGCAAACGCTAAATTATTTGATTTACGCTACAAAATACTTCTTCATCCATCTTCTCCGAATTTGGCCTCTTTGGATTATTTTTCATTTCTTAACATGAAAA